AGTCGGACGCTTAACCGACCAAGCCACCCAGGCGCCCCTTAAATCTTTAAGAGTGCCACTACACTATGCCATTTCATCTGGGATGTTGTATTGTTTCTGATTTATCATTTTGGCCAGATGTGGGAATGCAGCTACACATGCTTCCTCTTAGCCTTTCTTTTTTTTTTTAATTTAAAATTAATTATTTATGTATTTATTTATTAAAAAATTTTTAAGGTTGATTTATTTTTGAGAGAGAGAAACAGAGTGGGGGAAGGGCAGAGAGAGAGGGAGACACAGAATCCTTAGCAGGTTCCAGGCTCTGAGCTGCCAGCACAGAGCCTGATGCGGGGCTTGAACTCACAGACCGTGAGATCATGACCTGAGCCAAAGTTGGATGCTTAACCGACTGAGCCACCCAGGTGTCCCCAAAAGATTTTATTTTTAAGTAGTCTCTACCCCCAATGTGGGGCTCAAACTCACATGCTCTATCCTCTGACTGGGCCAGCCAGGTGCCCTTCCTCTTAGCCTTTCTTACCAAAATGGACCTTATTTCATAAATCAGGGAATCATTATGAGAGTTCTGTCAGCTTCTAAGTCCCGAATATACATGCCAAGTATGCGCTCGGAGTCCAGGGAATTGACCATAGTGTGGGGTCAAGAACCCAAATGACCTACTGTGACACAGACACGAACGAGGACTTCATTTGTCACTTGGCACATAGGTCTCAGCTCTAACAGATGGGGCGCGGCTGCATATCAGGTTTTCAAGTATTACTCCCCACTCATATCCTATATGCAAGAGCCCTCAAACGTTCTGGACATTTTGTAGGTTCCCTTGGCCAAGGATGAGAAGATATCTCCTGAACTTCAGGTCAAGGGTGGTAGGAGGACCTGAGGTCAGCAGCTCTCTCAGATGCAGCTGGGGCAGGGGGAGACTAGAGAAGCTGTTTATAAAATGCTGAACAAAGGGGGCAAAACACAAGGCAGAAGAGACAGCAAACACTCTGTTCTGAAGCTGTTAGCTGAGTTTCCTTTGGTGGTCCCTCATGTTTCCCAGCATGAGAGTGTGTCCCCTTTTTGGGATGGAGTGGTGGGATCTAGGTTATATCCCTGTCTGTAGGAGCCAGTTATAGCCCTTCATTGTTACCCAGTGATGGAAAGGTGTCTCTCTGGCTCCTGCAATGGCTTTGCCCTGTTGGTGGCCTCTGTCACCTAGGTGCCAGAAGTCTCCCTCTTGAGGGGTTGCCTTAAAAAAAAGTAGCGGTCCCTGCCTCTCACATAGAAATGAATCATAAAGGTATCCCTCCTGGGCCGGCTACCTCTCCTGCACCTGAAACTACTTTAGCACAGGCTTGAGGCTATGTAAGGCTCAGTGATGTGATCTTTGCCTTTTCTTCTGTCAAGCAAGAGGAAGAGTTAGGGAGGATGCTGGGAATAGAATAGGGTGTGGCTTGAGAACTTTCAACCTGGGGTAGTTTGGTGGCGTCTGACTCTTGATTTTGGCTCAGGCCATGATCCCAGGGTGAGGGGATGGAGCCCTGTGGGCTCTGGGCTGACAGCACAGAGACTGCTTGGGATTCTCTTTCTCCCTCTCTTTCTGCCCCTCTCCTACATTCTCTCTCTCTCTCAAAATAAATAAATAAATTTAGGATAAAAGGATTGGCCAATGGGAGCATGGTCAGGAATTCAGGAGCAGAAGGAGAGTGATACAGTAGGATCTATTCACACAGTCCTTTCCTGGGAAACCACTTAGAATCAGTTGGCTGTGGGTCCTTCCATGGCCCACAGCTCCTGTCCTGCAGCTACAGCTAGAGCAAGCGGAGGTGGAGCTCCAGCTGTCTTTCTGGGTTCCAATAACCACTCCTTACCCAACCCCCTTCATGCCAAAGGGACGGTGGTAGCTCCGTACTCTTGCCACCTCTGGGATGTGTCCCCACACCCTATTGGTTTCCTGTTCCCTTTGCACATAGATAGATCCTCCATCGAACTTTTCCTAATTTATCCTGTGTGATTGTGCCATCTGCCAATACTGGGACCTGACAGACAGACCCTTTGAGGATAAAGGCCCAAAGAATACACGGATGTGGCTGTTTCACAGCCCAGAGGTGGGGCTGGCGATGGAAAATCATGCTGCACTTTTCAGAGCCTGCAAGCCCAGCACAGATAAGCGCATACGTGAGATGAAAATCAGAGAAGATGGTCATCAGGAAAACCATCACAGAAACTAGCAAAGATCTCTGCTTCTTGGCTACCATGGCCTGATAATGATAATGCAATCGTTTCCTGATTGATGAGGAAATGAACTCAGACGAATGCAGCCAAATCCTCTTCTGGGGAGCTGTGGTGTTTCACAGCCCTAAAGCCACGTAACAAAAACACAAACACAAAACTCCAAACACTTTTAAACTATCCAAATAAACTGAAAGTACCAAAAAGTTGAGTAGGGACAGAAGCCTTTCAACATTTAATAAAAAACATAGACTCAGAAAATAATGCCCCAAATGTCACAAATCACATAATCCAGGCAAAGATCTGTTAGCGTCTTCTTAATCCCTCGTGGCCGGTGGAGGGACATTCAGTCAAGGGGTGTTTCACAGTGGGAAGAGGAAGAGTCCAGGGTCTTCCCAGGAAAAACAAATCCTGCATTACATTACATTGAAGTTTTGCATTTTCCCACATGACTGAATATTTTTGAAAACAAATTTTTAACGAATTCAAAATATTCAGTAAAAAAATATTCAATCATTTGAATTTACCATTTTTTTCAATTTTTAAAATGTTTGTTTATTTTTGACAGAGAGACAGAGCATGAGTTGGGGAGGGGCAGAGAGAGAGGGAGACAGAATCTGAAACAGGTTCCAGGCTCCAAGCTGTCAGTACAGAGCCCGACGCGGGGTTCCAACTCACGGGCAGCAAGATCATGACCTGAGCTGAAGTCGGACGCTCAACCGACTGAGCCACCCAGGCGACCCTGAATTTACCATTTAAACTTTGTTCCATGACTGGGATTCCAAGTTTTCCATTATTAACAATGCTGAGATTAAAATCCTTGTTCATGAATCTTTGTGTAAGACGTAATCAGAGACATAATCTCTGATTATGTTTTTCAGGCAAATTGCTAGAAAGAGTTCGCTCGAGGCAGCGATTCACCATACCCTCAGAAGCCAGGAGGGCTATAGGCCTCAGGCTCCTGTTGTGCCTGTCTCCTGTCCTTCTGACCTGTTTTCTCTAGCCAGTCTCTCAGCAGGCAAGACTTTGTGTTGAGCAGGCTGTAGGGTTTTGACTTCCTACTGGGTTGGGTACGGCCCTTGTGGCTGGGAGTTGCTCATGCAGAACTGTGATGCTATCCCCCCCTTATCTGCTCCAGCTCTCTGTTCTGCATCAGGGAGTGAGAGACAATCTTCTCTGCATCTCAGATTGAAGCCCCGCAGATGGTAGATCTCCTCTTATCGAGGTGGACTGCGAGGAGGGCCCTATGTGGAACCAACTGTCTTCCCTGCATCACGTATCTAAACCGGTGGTTCTCACTGAGGATGATTCCTGCTCCCCTGCCCCTTGGAGGACACTTGGCAATGCCCTGAGACATGTCTGGTTGGCACAACTTAGTGGAGGGGCGCTATTCCTGGGACCTGGTGGGGAGAGATCAGGGATGCCCTAAATATCCTACATCTTTGCCTGTGATTCACAATGTTCTTAGTGATTCTGGATATTACTAAAGATAACTTCGAATCAGTATAGAGTTGATGATTACAGCAAGGATCTGGCATAACATCTTGTTTAAGTTGGAAATAAGGATCCTGTCTCTCCAGGGATTCCCTTTCTCTTCTTTCTTTCCCTAAGTTTTCTTCATTAGTTCCTCTCTGTATCTCACACTCAC